CAGGAAATTCCAGTCCCTGAAAGGGAAAGTAAGCTGCTTCAAGTCCCAGGACTGAAACGTAGGTATGATAAAGTTCAACCCAGTTCTCTGCCTTTTATATCTCATCCTCAGCTGGAGACTGAATTCAGGCGAGGGTGGGGGATGCAAGAAAGGGGTTGTCAGGACCCACATATGGTCTATCCACTTTCCTCAGGGCTTCCAGAAACCTCTGGATGTTTGGGGCCACTTGGCATTCACTGGAAAGACAAACCTCTTCTAACTGGCAGGCGTGGGAGGGAAGGAATCATTCCAGGTTTCAGGACTACTAATCTGCAAAGCTAGGCCTTAAATTAAACCTCTTGATCCTCTGTCATGGGCCATTTACGCTCCCTACCACTCCACCTCTCATGCAAACCCACGTGTGTGGTTGCCCTAAAGGTCCTCTCTGCCCCAGAGCTCAGCAAGGAAACAGCCGCCAGAGCAGGTGCTGAGGAAGCCACACAGAGTGTTGGAATCGTTCCTAGCCTTGGAGAACCAGTGGGGCACTGGAAGGAGGCACAGTTGTGTTTTACTGAGCATCTGGCAATAACAATTCTGGTTAAGCAAATGGCCTCCAAGGTGAGTCAGCCTGGGTTTTGAGGTCTCGTCCCAGTCCTTGTTAGCTATACAGTCTTAAGCAAAGTTGTGTTTTACTGAGCATCTGGCAATAACAATTCCGGTTAAGCAAACGGCCTCCAAGGTGGGTCAGCCTTGTTAGCTATACAGTCTTAAGCAGGTCAGTAAGCCTCTCTGTGCTCTGGTTTCCATGCCTAAAAGATAGAGATAATAATTATACTTGGGGCTTTTTTTGAGGACTGTGTGAGTGAGTCAGGAAGCATGGCGCATGGCACATGCCCCATCAATGTTCATTATTTTCACTCTGCCAGATCCTCATTCATATGTAGTGAGAGAATAAAAGAAAAACATTTAAAAGTCATCTATAGAATTCCTCTAGTGTAAGGAAGAACTGTCATTTCGTGGTTGAGATGTTGGGGGACCCGGGAGTAAGACCAAGGTGACCAAAACCTTTCTGCAAAATAAAGTCAGTAGAATTTGAATTTCTGCAGTTTGTGAGAGGAAGTAGTGTGTAGGAAGTAGAGAGGGAGGGGATGAAAATGGGGAGAAGGACATAAAAATTGGTAGTAAAGAGAGTGGGTCAGCATGCAGGGTGGAGAGCTGAGCCCCAGGGCGAACAGCTGTCCCTCAAGAAATTCCATGGCTGGAGTGGCAAAGGCCTTACAGGACAGAGGGGTACGGCACTCAATTTGTATTGTCCTCTGTGATGGAATGCACTGCCTCACTGGCTTCTCCCCATACCCTAAATCCTGCTATAAACTTTACTATACACCAAGTCTGATGCTGTGGAATCTCTGGGGAAATCAAGGCACAGGTGTCTGTATTCTGTGTTTTGGACAAAGAAGCCACAATAACCTGGGCACATGTGAGATTCAAAATGTGATGGAAACGGAAAATTGGAATAAGAGATGCGGAGAAGCAGCACAAGCCTGGCTCTCCCTGCAGCTCATGGGTGCCTCACCGTATGTGAGGTGGGAGAGAACCTTTTCGCTTGGAGATGAAGGAATAGAATGGATCCTGTGTCCGAAGGACATAGGCTCAACCAGGTGGCAGACAAAGGTTGTATTTGCTGTCCCCTTCTACACTCAAAGCGGGTCTGTGCAGGAGTCTTTTTTAACTCCGTTTTCTAGAGGAAAGGAGAAGGATGTGGTGAATCCTCCCAGTGCTCTTCCTGGCCCGCAGTCTCTACCGAACCCCCAGAATGGCCCACGGAGTCCTCTGCAGGATGGAGTGGGCAGGAGGCGGCAGTGTGCTGCTGACCACTGTCCTGGCCAGGAAGAGGAAGCTTGTGTTGGAACCCAGAAATCCTTTCACTATAAAAAAGGCTTAGTTTTCTGTGGTCTCCCTGCAGCTAATTGTCATCCTGTGCTAAGTGACCGCAGTGTTCACACATGACCCTGCTTCCCAGCCTCTGGGTTGCTGCCGGCTTCCCGCTGATGGTGGATAATTTCCATCAGCTGGAGGCAGAGGGCTCCCTGGAAAGCGTCTGGGTTCTGCCCTTGTCCACTCCAGTGACAAACCACATGCCGCCTCTGGAGCTTCCTCCTAGGAGTTTCTGGGAGATGATTACGCTCTGCCCGGAATATTTTGCAATGGCTTTTCAAAAGGGAAAATTTGCAGCTTGTGCCTGTGTAAGAGGGCCTTGTTGGTAGAGGATGTCATGGCTGCAGATGTCCTCAAGCTTATAGTTAGGCTTTTTTTCTTCTCTATTCACATATTAAATGAGAATTAGAGTATCATAAAGTGTCCAAGCGGAAGGACTCTCCAGTTCATTTAGTACCTTGCTGTTATGTTATAGATGAGGCCTCGAGAGGAGGAAAGACTGACCCAGAGAAACAGCCTGCTGGGGTGAAGGTCAGTTCTGGAGCCCAGGGCTCACTCCACGGTAATGTTCTTTCCAGCTTGCCCTCCTACTGTGACTGCACCTTGCCACGTTAAGAGAAGTAGTGCAGACTTGCATTGAAAGCAGGAGAAAACCAGGGACAGCACACAGCAGGTTACTGACATTTATGGCCAAAGTGCATCACACAGGGCGATAGAGAGGACCTCTGGATTCTGGTTCTTGCTCTGCCTTCATCTCCTTGGATGACCTTAGGCAAGTCACCTTGATTGCATGAGCCTCAGCTCCTCATCTGCAAAATGGGACACTAGTCCCCATGTTGCTCGCTCAGGAGATGGAAGCTACTTTCTACCAGAGGGAGGTACAAGAAGGTCTTATCAAAAGTTTTGTAGCCCTAGTGGGGATGATTATTAGCATTTTGTTATCTGGTTGCTGAAAAATTAAGTGGTAAACTGAGGTTGGTTTTGAATTAGTTTAAGTTCTGATATGCACTGCGATGGCTAAGATTAGAAGAGATCTGATAAATAATCTTGTCCATGGCACTCACAATTTTGGATTACACAGACCGAAACAATTTACCACAAAAGGGAGATTCAGTGACCAATACAAAGTGGGCAGCTTTCGGTTTCGCCCATTGTGACCATTAAAACAAAACAAACAACTTAGACCCTGTGCTTCATACTATAAAAGAAAGGACATTTTAACAGTGTAGGAAAGGACATACTCTCAGAAGAAAAAAATGCTGCTTATATTAAAAATAGTTGCATAAAACTGAAAAGAAATCATTTGCTATGGGACAAAGGGGCTACCAGGTCCTTCTTTTTCTGATTACACTCTGGACTGGTGAAAACTATTGCAAGGGCAGAACCACTGGTTAGAGCCTCTGTGCTTGTCAACCAGCCATGGACCTGCTCTCCAGGTGTGGAACTGAGATCCAGCGGGGCAGAGATCACCTTACCTCATCAAAGCTGTTCTTATCATTGAAATCACATTCCTGTTAAAGATTACCTACCCCGCCTCAGAAAATGAAAAGCTCTGATCTTACTTGGGAAATCTGGGTGGATACGGTGGTGGAATGGTTGGAGTGGGGAATTCACTCAGCGCCCCTGGTTTTTTGCAAGGCTCCATGTTCTGATGGCAGAGTCTGTGCTGTTTCCATAAAAGGGGTCGGCAAACTCTGGACTGCGTATCAAAGTCAGACCACCACCTCATTCTGTAAATAAAGCTTCATGGCCCCTTGGCATGCCTGCTCATTTGCACAGAGTCCATGGCTGCTTCTGCACCACAATGGCAAAGCTGACTAGTTGCAACAGAGACCTGATGGCCTGCAAAGCCCCAATTACTTATTATCTGGTCCTTTACAGAAAACATTTGTTTACTTCTGCATTCTACCATGCTTCATTTTATATTAATGTGACTATCTACAGAAATATTATGGGAATTGAGGTTACACGCTAAGTAATTCCAGCCAAGTTCTAATATATAGTTGTTAAAGCTGTAATTATTAGTCTGCCTTGCAGGATCCAGAATGATAGTCTGTTTGGGGCCTTTTGCCCCTACTTTCTAAGTCTCTGGGTGACAGATAGCAGGAGAGGCATGGCTAAGGGTGTCCGAAGGAAACTCTAAGTGTGATGCTGTTGGTGTGAGGGTGTTTCCAGACACTGTGTCCTCTGGCCGCAAGTGTTCTCTGGTGTCTCCACCTGGTACCTTTTCTTTTCCTTTTTTTCCTCTAAGCTGTCTGATTTTCCAGCAGCGCTTGCTATCTAAGTTTAAAGTTTATAGGACTGAGACTGGTTAATGTTCCTGGCAGAAGGGACATTGGATTAGAGATGAGGACATCTGGGTTCTAGGTTTGGCTCTGTATGACCTTGGACACAACATTTCGCTGGATCTTACTTCGCCTCCTTTGTGTAGTGAAAACATTAATCAGATGATCTCAAAGTTTTTCAACTTAACTCTGCACATTAGCCTTCTGGGGCTAGTAGAGACAATGCATTAATTAGTGACTTCAGTGATAAGAAATGAATGTGTGTGTGTGTGTGCGTGTGTGTGTTTTGAGGGGGGGAGAAAATCTCTTTTCACAAATCTTCAACTGCATTATGCGTTTTGGCTGCTATCAGTTATCTGATGATTACTATGTATTGGTCACCATGCCAAGCAATTTATAGAGAGATCTGATTGGCTTCTCCAATACCTTCATGAGGTAGAAATTATTATTCCCATTTCATAGACAAGGAACCGAGGCTCCCAAGGGGTACGTAGAGCCAAGATTCATACCCACATTTGCCTGCTTTGCATCCCTGTTCAGGTCCATGTGACACCCTCTGCCAGAGGTAGAATTTCCCTTAGTGGGAGGGAGGGGGGCTGGTGGGAGACTTGTGGGGATAAGAGTCCAGATCGGAGACTGCTCGGGTGAATCAAAGTGCACTAGCTCTGCCCTGAGAGGCCCCCTCCTGTCTCCATCTACTTTTCTGTTGGGCATTGTCATGATATTTCTGGTTGCTGATCAACTACGATGTGATGTGGATGGTTCACTACACACTTACTCTAAATCCCAAGATCTTACCTCCTTTAAGGGGGAATTTGCCCGGTGGGTCAGGAATGGAGTCCTAGGAGCGAAGAAGAAAAATAACAGTGTAAGAGTGACATTCAATGAAAATGACTTGCCTTTTTCTTTTTCCATTTTGGTTGTCCTCAATGCAGTTTAGAATTCACATACTATCTGACTCTTAAATTTAAAAAAAATTGATTCACTGATTAAGTTAGAATGGGCTTGCTCAATCTTTTGCTTGACAATCTGCCTATAGGAAATGACTTTGAAGATTATTGTCCACATTTCACAGGTGAAGAATCAGGGGCTGAAAAAGGTAAAATGAAAAGTTTATAGCAGCTCAGTGACCAGAATTTGCAATTCAACTCCCAGTCCAGTGCTTTTTTTTTTTTTTTTTTAAATCTCTATATGTGTTATTTTTCCCCTTTGGTCAATGTAAGAAAAATCGAATGTAGTATATAAATATATGTGGTTTTTTTTTCCATCCTTGATTCATCAAACAGTGTAAGTAGGTTGTAAACATACCTGGGAAGGTACATTTCTTTCTCTCCTGTGGTTGGAAATTCTGAATTAATTGAATGTTCTATGCCAAGCAATATGAGGATACCATAAATAATTAAACTGAGTCCCTGCTCTCTGTATTTATTACAAGTTTAAATTTGAATATAATATCTAAATATTTATAAACATGTAACATAAACAAATATATGTTATATATTTATATATTCACTTAATATTTTATATTATTTATTCTGTCATAAACATAAATATACAAAAAATACAAAAATATTTACACAGGTAAGTAAGAAGTCGATAGAAACAGATTGTCTTCTGAAGGGGGGTCCTCCTGGGCTGGGGGATGGGAAGGGATGAAAGGGAGGTCTCATTGAGGTTCACTGAGCAAGTAGGCAACAAAAGCAGGTGGGCACATTTCTTCACCCCTAATGCCTTCTTCAAAGACTAACTTCCCCACACCTGGTCTCTCTCCCTCTTCTCTCACCTCAGCCATGGATACATCCCTCAGGTGTCCTGCTAAGAGGGAATGAAGTATCTTATTCATCTTTCAACCTGTCCAAGTTGGGAATCTTCTGTAGTACATTAGAGTGAAATATTAATAAAGACCTAGAGAGTTATGAACATTTACATGGATGACACTACCTTGCCAACCTCTACTAAAACAAGACGTTACCTATCTTATTTTCTCAGCGCTCAGTACAAGCACCAATGACTGTCTTGAGTTTCCCCTTTATTCTACCATTTCTCTAGGGGCTCTGTCCTTTGCCTTCCACTGATGGCTCTTTCTCTAGTAAATGGATCTCTTCTCCAGCCCAAGTGGGTGCCAGTGAGTCCAGGAATTCTCCTGAAGGCAAAGCCTTGGCATAGCATTGATCTGGAGATGGTGGAAGTCAGTATAAACTTTTGGGTGAACTTGTCTTGGAAGTTCCTTCCCGTTTTGCTCTAATGTTCTATGACTTTATCGCTTTAGCAGAAATCTCTTTACCTATCAATGCTACACATTTGTGGTCTCTCCATTACGCATGCAGTTCATAGGAAAATCCGACATCACAAAACTCCCCTCTGGGTTGCCTCCGTGAGACCACAAACAGCATTTCAAAATTTAATTGACACCTGATCTACAGCCAAACGTGATCATCGATTAGTGTGTTGTTCAAACGTACAAAGGAAAACATCTATGTTAAATGTGGTGCTGAGATCGTTGAATTTGCTGGCTACCCAGGAAAGTATCCAGGTACAGTGAGAGGAATGCTAAAATAGCAAAACCATCAGTGGAGCCATCCCGGAGGCCACTAGCAGCTGGGGAAATACAAGAGAATCATACATTCAGCACATATTGAATGAGCACCTGGTGTGTGCCAGGCCCTATGTTAGGCATTGGAAGACATCTGTGGATTTTTGAGTAGCACGGTTATATGAGATACTATCTGGGAGGAGGACCTAATTCACATGAGGGTCTGCAGAGGCCTCTGTCATTTGAGGGCTTTCTGGTTTCCTAACTTCAAAAACAAAGCATCTTAATACAGGAAAAAGTTGTGTTGATTAAATCTTTACCCAGGGCTCAGGGCATCCAAGACAGAAGTGTGACTATTCCTGTTTCAAAGAGCTCTTCTTTGAAGAGATAAGGTCTCCTAGTTCTTTTGGATGCCCGTGTTAGACGAGATTAAAAAAAAAAAAAAAATCTGAGCCAGAGGGGAACTTAGACATCGTTCAGTCCATCTACAGAACAGGAAACTGGACTCGTGAGTGCAGGCAGATCCTGAACTGAAGTTCTCTGGTGCTCTTTCCACTTCCCTAGTAGAAATGGCTATTTAGTTTCAGAAGCCAAGGACAGGAAAGTTCACTATTCTCTCATCACCCCTCCCATGAGCAATTCTTGCATTTTGAAATAGAAAATCAGGGTATAAAGAGACGATGATTTTTGCAGATTTGCTGAGGACTGTTTATGCCCTAGGTACTATGCTAAGTTGCTATCCATCCACAGAACTCTCTCCAAAATCTTGCCTGGGGATCTGGGTCCTGGCTGGGGAAAGTGAACCATCTTGCTCAGTGACTTGGCATTGAGGTGAAAAGTACATAGTCTTGACACAGACACAAGCAAATGCCCCCTCCCAGGTTGTCATTCTCAGCCAATTGAGTAGCTCAAGAAACTCTTTCTCCATGGTTACTGACCAGCTACACTTCCTTCAGTGTACTTCTTTTGCCTGGGGATCTGGGTCCTGGCTGGGGAAAGTGAACCATCTTGCTCAGTGACTTGGCATTGAGGTGAAAAGTACATAGTCTTGACACAGACACAAGCAAATGCCCCCTCCCAGGTTGTCATTCTCAGCCAATTGAGTAGCTCAAGAAACTCTTTCTCCATGGTTACTGACCAGCTACACTTCCTTCAGTGTAGCTGGTTCAGACTCTACGTCTGTTGGGTGTTTCCAACAATGTTTCTGTGTGAGTGGGGAAGAACCATCACATTTAACCTGCTTATCCCAAGGTGAAATGATCTGATCACAATCCTCTTTCCTGCCTAGGACTCTGTTTTCTTATTTTCTTTAATCGTTGCGATTACAGAGTTAATAATTCTTCCCTCCACTGGGTTGTTGCAGACATAAGATATTATATATAAAGCATTAGCAAGTGCTTGAAAATTGTACCTATTTTGGTTCTCTTGATCCTATCGATATGTTAAATTTGCCTCAATACCTTAAAAGGCTATTTTCTTTCACAGAACAACGCTATGTAGGGATAATCAGCTCTCAAATTTGCTTTGGACCAAAGATGCCCTTTCTGATTGAAAATGGCCAAAAGCAACTAATATTTGGAATATGCTGGGAGAATTTCCTATGCCCTTCCTTGGTGGTCTCACATTGTCTTGTAAGGTGGTCCACAAAGATCTTTGCCAGGAATGACTCTCTTATTTTCAAGTCGACATGATTAAGCATTTAATGAGGGTGCTTAATTCTCTGGGGCTAAATGCTTTGTGTGCATTATTTAATTTGGTCTTTACCTTAAGAGTTAGTGATTGACTAAGACTTACAGAAGTGACAATGATTACAGAAAGTCCCACAGATGGTAAATAGCAGAGAAAAGATTCAAACTCAGGTGTGTTGACTCGGAAGGCATGCCACGTTGCCTCTCTGAAGCTGTGGCAGAAAATTCTCCTGAGACTTTGAGAAAGTGGATGGTGGTCATAGAAAATTCCCAGAAGGAAGACATTTTTTTATTGGCAGCCTTCATCTTGGTATGGTTAGTGAAAAAGGGAATTGGAATAGAGTGGCTTAAAGAAGTGCTTCTTCCACTGGGGGTCTTCTTAAAATGCTAATCTTGATTAAGTAGATTTGGGATGGATCCTTAAGTTTTGCATTTCTAATGAGCATCCAGATGATGCCAGTGCTGCCGGGTCACTGACCACACTTTGAATAGCAAGGCCTTAAAGACATTACTCAATAGGCAATCAAAACACCTGAGGTCTTCTTTCACCAAAGAATGGGGAATGTCGAGCTGAGCTCATATATGGGTTTAGGACAATTTCCTAGTTTGCTGACAGATGTGGTAATCTATCTTCTCGCGTTTCTCTATCACCCAGCTCTACTTCTTGCTGCTCTCCTGTGCTGTCGAGACTGTCTACTGTTCTGGCTCTGCTATTCCTCTTTACACCTGGGCTTGCCTTCCTCTGGAATGTGCCTCTGCTCACTCTTTTGCTTCACCTGAATACCCTGCCCCAATTCTTCCTGCCACCATCCTTCCAATGGAGACATCATCTCCATTGAAGTATACCAGCTAATGAATGCAGAAGGAATAGCAATCATTATTCTTCTACCTTCAGTTTATTAGCTGATTTAGACAAGGGCCATCAGAAAGTGTTAAAACCTCTGAGTGAAGAATATATATGTACATGTCTAAAGAGTATTACCCCATAGATTACTTATAAATAAGAAAGAAAAAAGTATTTTACAAAAGAGATGGTTGGTGGCCACCACCTGAAAGTGACTAAACATCATCACCATAATGGGACAACCTAACATATGCCTCTAGTTGAGCTACAATAAGAAGTATATAACATTATCTAAGTACTATTCTTACAAAAAATGTTTCATCTGCATATAATCATGAGTGAACACTACAGCAAATCCAAAAAAATGAACTATTTTATACCAAAACTAGTCTGAACCCTTTGAACATCGATGTCATGAAAAATAAATGAAGGGCATAGAAGATTCATTCCTCGCTGCTTCTCAAACTTTAACATGCATATAGATCACCTGGAGACCTTGTGAAAATGCAGATTTTGATGCAGTAGGTTTAGAATAGGGCCCGAGATTCTGCATTCTAACAAGCTCTCAGGACCACCCTTTAAATAGCAATATTCTAAATTAAAAAAGACATAACCAAATGCAGTATGTGACCTGAGAGTGGATTCTGGATGCTCAAATAAAACAAGGCATAACAGATGTAGAAGATATTTTTGGACAGGTGGGGAAATGAAAATATGGACTGTGTATTATTATTAGATAATGTTATTGAGTTAACTAATTCTCTTGGCTGTGATAATATCATTGCAGTAAGTAGGAGATGGAGGCTGAAATATACGTAGATGAAAGGTCATGCTGTCTACAACTTACTTTCATATATATAGAAGGAGCACAAATACAGCAAATATATTAACACAGCAAATTTAGGTGAAATGTTACATGAGTCTTGCTATTCTGTTTCACTGCAGGTTTGAAAAATGTTCAGAATAAAACGTTGGGTATAACATGATCCTTCTAATTCCTGGGGGAGACTCAGCTTCTATCCTAGCTCTTCTACAAACCACTCCCTCACTCCAAGTAGAGACTGTCGACCTTTCCTCTGGTTTATGACATTCTGTGCCATTCTACTCTAAATTCAAGCTCTTGGGTATTTGGCTTCATCTCCCTAATCTATAGAATTCTCAGAAGACAGAAATCCTGCCCTGTTCACTTGATCCTCCCGTCACAGCCCAGCATAAAGCTTGATCCTGAGATTTTCAGAGAATTTTTTGACGGATAAATTGAATGCATTGAAGAGAGTAACTTGAGTAGGAGGCATCACAGGGCATTTCATCTCACTCCTATATTTTATCTGAACTTAAAAGCAAGCTACCACCACCACCAATCATTACCTCTGAAAAGGCACTCAGCTCCACTCTTGGCAAGGAGGTAGAGTGGTACTATAAGAACATATTACTTTAAACAAGGAATTTTCTTGGCTTATAAAGAGAAAGGAGACAGCTGCTTTCTCTTTCTAGAAAGAGTCTCCTTGAAAACCTAAGCATCCTGAGCCTCTTTGCTTTGTTCTAACCTTTTGAATGTAAATGGATATTTTCAGGGGCTGGATAAACCCTGTCTCCAGGTTTATAACAGATAGATGTCTCTAAGACTCAAGACCTCAGAGCCCCTTGAAATGTAAACACTTCTGGCGGTCAGCCTTAAAGCCTTCTCTTTATCTGACCCTTTGTTTCTGGAGGAGATAAAAGAAATTTTATTGTTTTTTCTTTTGCTTTGCTGTATAAATTGTGTGAAATTTCATCCTGACATATACGTGTGCACTCCATTGTGCTTGCCTAATAATAAATCAATCGTCTTTCTTTCCATATTGAGGCAAAGAGGTGTCTCTTTCTTGGTAGTACTTTTACTTTCTCAAGAGTATCGGGGTACAATCTCTTTGGAAGCTGAGTGACGATATTTCTTGAAGTGAAAACTTCACATTCTATTCCCATAACTAGGAATTTATCCCACTGATATATACTCGCAGATGTGCACAGTGAGCAAAATTCTAGAGAAAAATATAAGTGTCCTTCACTAGGCACAGGTAAAATAAGTTATGAAGCAGTAATACCTTAAAATACATATGTGACTCGTCAAAAGAATGAGGTGGATTTCCATGTACTGACAAAGAAGGGACTCTATGATATACTGTCAAGTTATCAAAGTAAAGTGCAAAATGTCGAGTTTACTATAATAATGTGTGTATTATATATTTGGAGATACACAGATTTTTTTTGGAAGGACAAGGAAGAATCTATTATCTCAGGAAAGAGGGATTAGTGGCTGTCTGGGGAGAGTGTAAGAGATTTTTAATTTTCTTTTTTTCTTGTTTCCTGTTTTCTTTCCTTCAATCATGTGAATATAATGTTCTATAACAAGTATACTGGTTTAAATGTAAATGAAACAAAGTTCAACAACCACAGAGACTGAGACATTAGAGACAACTTAGAGACATTAGAGACTTAGAGACAACTGTTGCATACACTAGATGCTCAATAAATATTTGAGGCTGAAACCTAAATTCCTTCTTTGTCTCACCCAAGGAATTTGACCCTGGAGTTATTTGATCTTCAGGCCCAATTTTAATGCAACCTTTGTTGATTTTTGTGTATGCCCTGCATCTTCGTGTCGCCATCCCTTTGCTCATGCTGTTCTGTTGGCCAGGAGCGCCCTCGCCTCTGATCTCCCTTCTCCACCTGTTTGAAATGATACACATTTCTCAAGCCAACCTGAAATTCCACTCTCCAGTGAACTTTTCCTTAGACCTGCCTAGGGAAATGTTCTATCTCTTAAACCTGGGGTCACATGGTAGCCCTACCTTCAGTCACTTATATATATATTATGACTTACCTCGTTTTAATTTTATCTGCACATGTGCCTTTTTACCTACAACTGTGCCTTCTTAGGCCAGTAAAACCATTCTCAGGGTTCTCCGCCCCTGCCCCTATCTAACCATACATGTTGAGTGTGCTATGTGGCCATCAACCCATTCCATTTTTAATAACTGGGATGTGAGTTTATGTTCCTTGGGTATCTCCCATTGATTTCTTTACCAGAGTCCTGTTAGAGTCTCTTTATTTGTCTAAGTTCTACCTATACTCCAGTCAGCCTGCATCCCCTCTTCTTGCAGGAAGCCTTCCCTCATAGCTTGAACTCAAGGGGATAACTCTTCTTATCACTTATAGTAGTTAATATCCGAACAATTTATTGGAAATGATATGTGTAAAACGTGAAACACTTAAGATCACAGTGCTTTTAAGTAAGCAACTGGTATTTCTCAGTCTAAGAAATCACAATACTCCACACTGTATAATCATTCTGTGAATCTTTTCACATCCAAACATAAGTGCTAAGTCAAGGAAATGGATGCACAAGAGGATAAGGCTCTAGAGAGGAGATTGGGAACAAAGTTTCTTAGTGCTTCTGTGGCTATCTGAATTGGAAAGGGGAACGCTGTGCTCGTTAAACCAGCAGTACTGACTTTACCGCTTTTCCAGGATGACTTAGTTCAAACTTTGTCTCCTTTCTTTTCTTGATTTTCCACATTTACAAAAAAATGAAGCAGAAAGATCCACTTTGGTTCCTTCATGAAAAGAATCAATTTGACTAAAATTGGGATTTGGATAAGAACCACTCTGGATCTCTCTCTAGCTTTGTATGTCACCATCACCCTGCCCCACCCCCAACATCTCTCTCTTTCTCTCTCTCTTTCTTTCCTCCCCCACCTCCTTCTCCTCCATCTCCTCCTCCTCTCTCTCTCTCTCTCTCTCTCTGTCTCTCTCTCTCTCTCTCTCTCTCTCTCTCTCCCCTTCTGGTTGCAATCTTTGACTAAAAACCTTCTTAAAGGCCAATTTGATATGCTTTCTTTGGCCATTGCTAAAAAATTATGCACCTCTAGTTTACATCAAATTGGAATTACAGAGATGATAAAGCCTCTACAATTTTAGGGTCAAAAAGACCCTAAAATGCTTTCAGGAGTATTATTCTTAGTAGGTATAGATAAGGCCATTAAATTATGAGTTTTATAAATTCTATCTAAATTAAACATTCACAATTGTTTTCTTTCACTTTTATGGAGATATGAACCTAAAAGCTTCATTTAAATTTCAAACTTTGAGGACGTTGAGAAAAGATACCAAAGCCTTTTAAAGCCTGATTCTTTTTAGTAATCTATAAGTTATAGAGCATTCAGCCTAAGACAGCTGAAGGAAAACCAGGACAGAGTCTGTAGGATTGTTAATACCATGAAAAATGGAAGCTATGAAGAAATAAACAGAAACGTGCTCACTTTGGCAGGGTGGGAAGGGGGTACAGTTCTTAAACTAAGAAAATTAATAAAAACTTTACAAAAAAATGCATGAGCAATATATACTCTCAGTACAGTAATTTCGATAATACATTCTGGTGGATTCTCTGTAAACACCAATTTCCTAAAATATGAAGAAGCTTCCTCCTTCATCTCTTCTGTTTTTACGACTGATCTTACCATTTATTTCAAATAGTAAATCTCCTGAGACAGTTTGACTCCACAGTGCATCCCCATAATTGCTTGTAGGTTTAGTATTCTGAACAGTCTTAGAGACTAGGTGTTAAAAACATCTCTATGTTCTTCTGCCTCTGTGCTCTGTTTTTTGTGACATCCTAACCTCTTCAAAGCAGTGACTCAGGAGGAAGCTTTCAATTTGTTTTGCGGGCTTTAACGCTGAAATGCCCAAAGCCTTGAGCAGCCCTGGTCTTCTCTCTTGCCTCCTTCCCTTCCAGATCTTGTCCTCTGAAATTTAGCTCCATGTTTAAAAAGCTCTTGACAATGGCTGAGGGCCTCAGAAGTCTCAGGAACATTTGGACTGAGACTATAGAACCTTGGAATTTGGTCTGAAGATCTCGAAGATGTGATAACAAGTTGTGCGAATATGTTACCAGGGTTCCTTCTTGCTTCCTCCCTGATACCAGCCTCTGGCTCAGCAAGATTCAAATCTTAATTTCTCAAAGCTAATAGCTCTTCTGCCCTCTTTTGGCTCATGTCAATCTGGAAAGTTTTGAGAGGATGGCTCAACAAATTTTTCTCTCAAAAGGCCAAAATATTTCAGAGAGTTAAGTTCTCGTTTCTTTTCTCTCTTTCTCTACATGATATATGTATTTTTCCCCCTCTCGATTAATTTATTAGTTTATCTCCAAGGCTCTCTCTCTGGGGAAAACCGAACATAAATCAGAAAAGCAAAAAAGAGAAGTCCACTTACCGTCTTCTGAACTACCAACACCATAATGGTTGCCACGGCAAAGACGAGACACAGAGCCAGTGTGACCGTGGTAAAATAGAAGTAACTGCGGCTAGTGGTCCCCAAGTGGCTGGCAACAGAGCCAGCTGGCACATGCATGGCTGCGTCTTGAGCAGGGGCCACTTGGTTGAGTGTTTGCTGCAGCCGTGGGTCCATTCTTATATAGTCTTCCCCGCATCACACCTTATCTCTCCTCATCTGATTCGGTTCTGGGCCCATCTCGGTTCCAAGAAGGATTCTCCCCTGCATCCTGGATCATGTGACTTGGAAAAAAACCTTCACGGGCTGCCTTGCGAAGAAACTCTTCTCTGGGGGCGTGAGGTGAAAGGCAGCAGCAAGGGTGGGGGAGAGGCTCATTTTTCATCTCCTGGGATTAATTTGAGGGCAGAAAAACTGTAGCTACAGAGAAGGTGGCTGATGTCAGAGGGCGAGTAGGAAAATGACAGTTCCCTATTCTGGGGTGTGTGTGTGTGTGTGTGTGTGTGTGTGTCTTTGTGTGTGTGTGTGTGTGTGCGCGCGCGCGCACATGCACAGAGTGACTTCTGTTTCATTTAGACTCAGCCACAAAACGCCTTCCTGCTCGAGAAGCTGCACATTGTCTTCAGGGAGGCCTGTGGCTCAGAAGACCATGTTGGAAAATCTCTCTCTGTTGGGGGCCTTGGGGAGGCTGTGTTCCTTGGATTGTAGTAGAATGACTCAAAATGGGTCGGTCTGACAATATCAGCTCCTGCTAAAATCTGGAATGCTACCAGATATATGAGAAGAAAGAGCCCACGAATGTAGAGATTTATCCAAACGGGAATAAGCTCATGGCAGCATGAAATTTGGGGACAGGTGCAAAGAGACTGTTTCAGGGCAGGATTCTGGAAACCCTGATTTTTTTAACAAAAAATTTCCGCAGAGTGTATCAGGATCTTTTAAACTTGCAGATAAACCTGGGCCATAAAACTCACAGAAAGGGGAAGGAATTGTCAGTGAGGGTGGGGGCGGGGAAGTGGTCCGGTATAGAATGTGGGGAGAGGGTGTGCTCTGTTTGGTGCATGCACATGCTGCATGTGGGTAGTTGCTGTGTAGAAAGTGTATGTGATGCATGTGTGGTGTGCAACGTGTGTCGTATGTATACGTATGTGTTGTGCGTTGTGTGTTGTGTGTGTATGCGTGTGACTATTACAGTTGAACCTCTACTGTTTCAGGCACAGGGCTAGGAGCTTTAACATTGCCTTATTCTACCCTTGCCTTTGCCGTCTGAGGCAGGTAATAGTTCTTTTTTCCGGATGGGGAAACTGAAGATCATAAAGAATGAAAACTGTCTTAGGCAAAGTCACAAATGTCGACCAATGAGATAATTGGGTACAAAGCCATACCTGGCTGGCTCCCAAGCCCATGCTAAATCATTCATCCATCACTGGGCCTGAAGGCCGAAACCTGAAGTCCAGTCTCAACCCTGCACCTTACTAACTTTGAGTCCTTGTGCAAATCCTTATGGCTTTCCCTTTTCCCCATCTGCATCGACAGCCACCATGAAGATCAAATGGGATAATGATGTAAGAGCACTCCGTGAATGGGAACAGACTTGGCAGTGGTGTTGGGCCATTCCCGTTAAACGTCTGAAGTGGTCCCCAGGGCCCAGTCTGGAATTTAGACAGATTCAACAAATAGATTCTCTGGCGTACAGAGCTGGTTACATTTGTGCTTACTAATGGTCTCCATTTCAAAATGCCATTCGAAATGTGAATCACTGCAGAGCTGGTGGCTCCGGATGTAGCTCTTTGAAAACTCATTTGGATATACCCAATTCTCTATAGCACCCCTCCCCTTCCTGCTCACCTTTTGGCTGTGGCATATCTCTGAGAGCCAGCAGAAACTCCAAATCCTCCTAAGAAAATATCTTGTGTCCAAAGCCAAGCTTGGATTATTACCACTGCTGCCCCTGCTTAGAACCCAAACTACTGAGCATCAGCTGAGTTAAGTCAGGCTCTAGATGCTGCTGGTCTGGATATTCCTTCCAGGTGAATCCATAAAATCATAAATCCTAGATGTGGAAGAGTCATCAACAAAACATTTATATTTTGGGGGGCACTCTATAGAGTGGTAGACTGTATACCTATTTTACAGTCAAGGAAGCTGAGACCTCTCAATCCCAAGTTGAGATTCTGTGCCCCCCCCACCACCAGTTTTGAAAAATAATTGATATATATCACTGTATAAGTTTAAGGTGTATAGTATGATTTTTTTTTGATATGATGATTACCACAGTAGGTTCAGCTAACATCGGCACTTGGTTTTGGAAGAAGCGGGTACACGCACTCATTTGGTCTCATAATTAAGGTGGGAATTAAGCAAGCCAGTGTTTTTTTGGCGTGTGTACCTGGCTGGTTTGGGGAGAAGGCTGTGTCCTGCGGTGGCCACGGGCAGTGAGTGGGTAGTAGGGGGCTCTGTAATCTGCCCAGAGCTGCTGAGAACAGGCTGCTCCCTCGGCCTCTCTCTTCAGTCTCTTTGATGAAAGTGGAAAACTTCTGATTGTTGAATGGAAGCTGTGGGTGTTGAAAGAGGCTTTGCTTGAAGTGCAGGTCTTCCTGAAGGCCCGTGGGGCTGAGAAGGCAGTGGAAAAAAATGTTTGTCTTACAGTTATCCGTTTTGCATACAGTACAATGTTCTGGGAGGGAAGGCTGACACGGGGGAAAAATCAACCTTTGTGTTTACTCAGAACCTTCTGAGCAGTTGAGATTTTCATATTAGTTTGCTTTCCTAGCAGCTTGTGAACCTGATTTCATTTCTCTCCCTGTGACACTCCTCTACTCACAAGACTTCGATGGTTACCTAATTCCCACCCCCACTGGTCTAAACTTCTCCCTGCTTCCTACTTCCAGAAGCTAGTCTGGCCAACCTAGTGGCCCCATCCATTGTGCTAACTGCCTTCTTTCTCTTTTCTATTCAGCCACCCAATGTACAAACAGAAAGAGCCATCACAAAATTTCCTGGTAAGTGATTTTCAAATCCTTTCCGGAAATGAGGTTGTTGTGCAGGGAGTAAAACGTGTAAGAAAGCAGAGCTCCCTTGGCAGAAGCAGACAGGACAAGAAGAAGGGTTGAACCCAGAATGCTCATTTTACTTTTGAATGGCCTGGGGTCTCTCCAAGATGGGACACAATTTGGAAACTTGGGATTTAGCTCAAAACCTTCATTGCTCAACTCAGAAAACTGAGATAAAGGAATGGAAATGGCTTGTGGGAGTTCACATGGGGAAGGTAGAAACAAGCTTGGAGTCTCCTGTGCTCATTCTCATCCCTCCTCTGCTAATATTCCAGGCATGCCCAGGCCTTTTTTTCCACATTTTACTCACTGTTCCATTGCTTTAGGTCCTTCTTGTCCACCCTTCCCCAGGACCCTGCCAGCCTGCCTCACCTTCTCCAGGAAAGCCCATTCAGATTGCTCAAGTCCACTGACATCCTTTCTCCAGAGGTCTCGATCTCTATGCCACCTAACATCGCATCTAATTGTCTACTAATTGTCTTGACATATGACTGTCAAGTATGTGAACATATGTGAGTTTTGCCTTCCCCATAAGACCGAGAGGCCCTGAGGGCAGTCTTCGCCTTCCCAGTCTTCTTCTGATTCCTTGCATTCCACCCTGCATTACTTGGAGCTGGGCCTAGGTTTGATCAACCCTCAGTCAATGCTTGTGTTGACTTTGCGTTTATGAAAAAAAGAAAGTTCTAGAAGGTTGACTTATACAAAGGAATTCCATGACACATTTGCCTCTTCTCAACTGTTCCCCATTTCCCTGTCCAGATGGCTCACCTGGCTAGCTGCCTATCAGCCTTTATAGTCCAGTGTGACCCCATGAGACTGACCACTAGCCTTCTTTCAGGCTATAATTAGTAGTGAGTTATGGCTGAAGCATCTGAAACTCAGTAGGCAAGCAGAACTAATTTCTTATCCCTTCATGAAGGACCCTCATCTTCAAAAAGAACAACCAGCTCTAGACCCCCTCCCCATACCCCACCATTGCTTCCCCATAGAAGCGACTATGAAATCTCTATCATGTAGACTAGTGGCTCCTAAAGTTTGGTCCCTGGACCAACAGTAGCAGAACTTCGTGGCACTGTAAATCCTTGGGCTCCACTCTAGACCTATTGAATCAAAACTAAGGCTGGGGTCCAGCAATTTGTGTTTTAACAAGCAACTGAGGGAGTTCTGATTCCTGAAGACATTTGCAAATCACAGGTTTAAAGGAAACAACCTAAGTTTCAGAACAAACCTCGAAGGGATTATCTGGTCCAGACTGTGACCTTTGGGCAGGTGAACTCCTATCCCCATGTTGTAGATGAGAAATTTTTGTCCAGGGTCGTGTAGCTGGGGAATGTTGGCATAAAGACTCGTTTTTCTGCCCTTTTATTGAGTCTCCTTTCTAACTTCAAATAGGGCTGTAGGCTCTAAAAATACTATTGCTTATGCAGATGGAGATATATTTGTAATATTTATCTAAAGTTCTCTTGTGGTGTCACCTGTTAGAATGGCTATAATCAACAGGACAGGTAATAACAAATGCTGGAGAGGATGCAGAGAAAAAGGAACACTCACACACTGCTGATGGGACTGCAAATTGGTACAATCACTATGGAAAACAGTATAGAGTTTCCTCAAAAAACTAAGAGTTGATCCAGCAATCCTTCTACTGGATATTTACCCCAAAGACTTAAAAACATATCCCAAAAGATATTTGCACACCGATGTTCATAGCAGCATTATTCATAGTGGCCAGGACATGGAAGCAACCAAAGTGTCCTACGATAGATGATTGGCTAAAGAAGCTGTGGTACATATATACAATGGAATATTACTCAGCCATAAGAAGAGATGAAATACAGCCATTTGCGACAACATGGATGGAACTCGAGATAATCATGCTAAACGAAATAAGCCAGACAGAAAAAGTTGAAAATCACATGATATCACTTATATGTGGGATATACACCTAAAAGCAACAAACAAACAGGACAAACAAACAGAGACTCATGAACATGGACTATAGACTAGTGGTTACCAGAGGGTATAGGATGGGAGAGAAAGGGGGAGGTAGATGGGGCAAAGGGGGTCAAATATATGTTAGCTGAAGAAAAGTGGACTTTGGGTGGTAAGCACACAATAGAATATACAGATGTCAAATTATAATGTACACCCGAAAATTATATAATTGCATTAACCAATGTTACCCCAATAAACTTAATTAAAAAAAATAAAGTTCTCTTGTGGTGATCACTGTATGTGGTAGAAAGAAATATTTTAAAAACTATTGGTATATGCAAGACAAGGACAAACTCCCCCTAGGGTATTTTCAAGCAATAAAACATGCAATAAAACTGCCTACTGTGGAGGAAAGGTCCTGCCCCATTAACTGACATTAACTGAAGAGCCTTCTGTTTTACTGGGACTAACTTGAACAGAT